ATTTTTTTTGGATTAGACTTGCTCATACGACTACATACACCTGGGGTCGTAGTCATTATCTTGGCCTCTTTGCATGGTGAATAAAGCCTCGTTTCTCGCCAACGCATTTTTCTTTTCTTTTTTCACGCCTAATACACGGCTTGCTTTTGCAGCCAGGCATAATGATTTTTCTCGGTTTTTTCTTCTTGTTTTGCTTTTCCCTCGCCGGTTCGCATGTTGCAGTGAGTTGCGGCGTATGGCCTCTATGGGAAGGTCTGGCAAAAAGAATAGAGGGGGGAAGAAAGTCGGAAAGAAACGGAGCGGGGGTAGACAGCGAGACAGAGACGGCGGATGCATTACTTCAGCGTAATATCGATGGGTGGCAGGCTTGGAGGCGGTTAAGTACCCTCCATCACGCATCATATATGCATGTGCCGCCTACCTACTTACCTACTCGGTGGGCTTATTGTTGTACATACGTAGGTAGATAATTTTAGCGAGAGAGAGAACGATAGAGCGGACCTTGATGATTCTGACCATTTGGTTTTGTTCATGGCGAACTGTCTTGTGGTGATTCTGAATCAACTGTAGACAATTATTGATTTAGTTCAATATTGATATTGTTTCGAGACGTTGACTTGGTGGCGAGAACTCTCTCAACGTCTAACTCTTTTCTATGTCTACCAATTCTACTCGAGAAACCTTCCAGGTATCCTAACAAGTACGCGTATTCTACTTTTGGAAGACCGCGGTGTGAAAATAACTTGATCATCTGTTTAAATCTGGATCTGAATGCTGTATCATCTCCTCGTCCTGTCATGCCGAATTCTAACATGTCTAGGTATCGAACTCCTCGCATCAGTCTGGCATGTACCGACGACCTACCTATATAGCTATTATATACATGATGAACCAACCAACCCACAAAACTCTCATGCTGGCTAGGTACCTAAATAAGACGAGGTAGGTGATTCACAACTTCGCCTTCTTCCCCCTCTGCTCTATCCACCCTTGCTCAAAATACTCCCGTCCAATCATCTGTTTGTCGGTGTCAGTATTCCCCTCCGCCCACGCTCTGTATTCTTTGTCTTCCTCGCGCCAGACGTGGATGTCGCCAGCGATAAACTCGGCGGCGTATTCCGCGCATCGGGTCGTCGCTTCCATCGGCACCAGGTGTCCAAACTCCTCGATGGTCACCTGTTTTACGCGTCCGGCCTTCTCACCGCCGCTACCGCCGACGCCTATCCCCGTCAGATCCATCTTTTCCTGGCGGACGTCGGGCGGGTTGACGTCCGACTTGCCGCCAAAGAGCCAGAGAGCTCCCGGACGGAGTTGAGGGAGCTTGTCAACCGTTGCCGGGCCGCCTTCGACTCGGTAGAACATAAAGTCGGGGTGTTTGGCGACGCTGGACGGGTCCACGTCGGGGAGTTTTGATAGGTCGACATTTTCGGGGACCCGTTTTCCTGTTGATGGGTCGTAGACCTGTGCCAGGGGGCGGTAGTACGTGAAGACTTCTTGGTGTTTCGAGGTCGTCAGGGTGACGCTACCGCTGGGCGCGTCGGGGTGGAGTTTGGTGCCGGGCGCCGGACGCAGGCCGTGGGCGTTCCATGCCGCGAGCACGCGCGGGTCCCAGGTGGAATAGAACTTGTTGCGGGTGAAGCTGGCGACAGCGGTTTCCAGGGAGGGCCAGAGGTCGCGGCGGTAGACCGAGTTGACCATGGGTGCGAGGCCGTATTTTGGTCCACGAAGGTTGAAGCGCGAGAGGACCGGGTCGAGAAGCACCAAGGATGAGAGGAGGCGCGGGTGTAGGAGCGCGAGGTTGACCATTATGTTGGCGCCGAAGGAGTGGCCTACCCCGATGATGGGCCGGGGCATTTCTTTCCGGAAGTGGTTGGTTGCCAGCAACAGGTCGCGGGCGTGGTCGAACCATGATGCTTTTTTTTATGTCAGTAAGTTATTATATGCGACATGGAGGAGAAGAAAGAAACGTACGATCATTGCCTAGATTATTTTCGTTGATGATGCCGCTCTGGCCCTGCCATGCCACGTCGGCGATCCAGATACCGCGGACTCGAACGCCGCGCCTGCCGAGGGCGGCGACTAGATCTTCCCATAGGGGCTCGTATAGCTCTTTGATGAAGCCATTGGCGTGGGAGGCGAGGATGGTTATGTCGCCCAGCTGAGCGGTAGGGTTGCTCTTGGGGATGTACTGCTTGAAGGAGAGGTAGAGTACCTCTTCTTGGGAGTGGGCCGTCGCGTGGGGGTATTCGCGGATGTGCTGTGCCTGGACGACATGTTCCTTGATGGTAAATGATGAAGCCATAACTGGAGGATGTGATGAGATGGGTGTTGTTTGTACTCAGCTGACTTGTCTTCGGTTCCTGTCGGCAGAGCGGAAAGAGGGGTAAAAGGAAGTAAGATGAGAGGATTGTATTAGCTGAAGTGGTTCATGGTATAATAGGATCAACACTTTTTGAATAAAATTGGATGATATTTTATAACAGGTCATCTGCTCATAACGACCAGGTACAACATGTATGTACATGAAGTTGTCCGTGGGAGGAAAGGAGTGTGTGGTTGTGTGCCGCAAGAGCGACTCAAAAGAGACGTGACCCCGAATTGAACTGCCGAGGCACAATTCAACCCCAATTCCCGGAAACTGACGGCCGATATGTGCCGGCTCGGCAATCTGGATTTAACCAGAGACAAGACACCGGAGATGGATGGGTAACAAGAAAAACACATCCGATTTCGTGAGTCCCTCACCGTGTAGCCAAGACTTTTCGGTGCTCGTATACCGACCAAGATTCCGGAATGGCGGATCGGCACGCGGACCGAAATCAATCGGATCCGCACCCGATCACGGGGAGGCCGAACCATTCACAAGATTTCACTTTCGCGGCGACAAACTTCATCGCAAAGCGAATCAACAAGGTCGGATGGTGTAGTTGGTTATCACGTCAGTCTAACACACTGAAGGTCCCCAGATCGAGCCTGGGTTCGATCAGTTCACTTCGCTTTTATTTTGCTGGTCAACTGCTTGATCAAGATCTTCCAACAACAAGGCTCGGATGGAAATGACTTCCAGATCGCCATCTCAGTTTTGCCTGTTTCGAGGCAATGGTGAGATGTTGCGAGATATTGGCAACCTGGAAGATAACATCTTGAAAAAGGAGACTCGCCCGTTTAACGCCCGTCATGTTTGTCAATAGAAGGTGCAACCGCAGATGAAAGTGACCAGATTCGCTCGTCTCACGGGTATATCTACCTATATTTATAAAGTCTCGATTACAAAGCATGGCATATAATATGGAACAGTGTGAATGAAAATAAAAACACACTTCTTTGCCTCTCACATAAACCCTTTTACCCAATTCTGAACCTGAACAGAACAACAGCAACCGCTCACTCTCCCTCTGCTATAAACGCAACTTAAAGCGCTCCAACAACCCCCAAGAACGCCGCAGCAGCCACACCGGCCACCGCTACCCCCGTGGCTCTAACCCCGTTCGTGGAGCTGCTCGTCGTCGTCGCAGCAGGGAACCCGCGGAAAGTCGAGCTCGTAGTGACCGTAACCGGCCCGGTGGTACTCGACTCACCGTCCGACGTGGAAACCTCCTTACACTCGGGCAGTGAGAACAGCGGGGTGACGACCTCGGCACGCGTGACGGACGCGCCGCCGGCGTCGACGCACGACGAGAGCTTCGAAATCAGATCCGAGTTTTGGTTCAGCACGCCGACGAGATCGGTCGAGTAGGCGCTGTAGGCGCCGGCCAGCGAGCTGGGCACGTCGGAGACCCAGCTGCACGGGTCGGAGACGGCGCGGGTCTCGGTCGCAAGGAAGGCGCCGAGGGCGGCGTTGGGCGTGGGCACCATCCCGAAGGCCCTGAGGAGGGTGTCGATGGCGAGCTCGCAGGCTGCGAGGTCTTTGTACGGGCCCTTTTGGCTGCTCATGGGCATGTCCGGGTCCATTGTATTTGTTGGTGAAGGTGCTGGTGGTGCCGTGTTGACGTTTGTGGCCGGAGCGGCAGGAGGAGCGGCGGCGGTACCTGTTTGCCGCGGCGCGAGATGGGCGAGAGCAGCCGGGGCTACGGTCACGAGGGCGAGGAGGAGGACGGAGGGATACATTTTGGATGGTCGGGTGATTAAGGCAAGGTATGTATGTGGTGGAGGACAAAGGAGAAGTTTGGACACGGAGCGAGTGACGGTGATGATGCTCACACAGCACAGTACTTGGCAGGAACGAAATACTGAATATCAATAAAGAAAACAACAGAATCAAAATCATGAGACGAACATTCAAATCTGACGAAACCAGCTGGGAGCTGGGATGCTTATACGTCCTAGGTATAGACACCCCTGGTAAAAAAAAGACATTGGACCCTGCGGCTTAGACTAGACTTCCAGAGGCAGTGCTCAAGACATCTGGCAAGGGTGCATGAGATGAAGAACCAGCAATGTAAGGTAAGCAGGCGCAGCCACTGCTGATCCACCGCCCTTCGACACGTTTATTTGCTGTGGTTCCGGGCATCTGGTTCGCTGTAGACCAGACATTGGATGAGAGCTGTCAAGCAGACCAGCTTGAACCAACAAATCCTCCAACAGCTTGCAGTTGGTTGAACAACGCATCGCCCAATACCTGCCGGTGGAGAGAAACTTCTTGAGCCTCAGATGGGGTGTAGAGCTAGCTCATCCTTCGCTCAGCACAAGAGGGGACCCTCTAGGGCGAACTCATCAGAGGTCTCGAGGCAGCGAAATGAAGCACATCGTCTGTGGGATGAAGCAGGCGCAGGCACCCACCGAACCCACGATCGGTCAGTCAGCCACAAGCGGATGGGCTGTCAAGGGCGGCGTAGTCTTGAAATAGAACTCTTAGTCAGAAGCTGTGTTGTGACCAGAAAAGAGTTTATCTTTCCGAAAAGAATAAAATTAAAGCCTGGGGTTACCCATTGGAGCAAAAAGAAATCCGTACGGCGGAATATTCGATGCTAAACACAGCAGAGTAAAAAAGAAAAAAGAACAGGTCGTACCCGGAATCGAACCGGGGTTACCAGAAGGTTGACCTGAGATGAATCAGTCAGAATCTGGTGTGATGACCGCTACACTATACAACCTCTGATTGTTTCCTGTTATTGGTTGTTTTAGTAATTTCGTACTGTAGCCTATAAAGGCTCCACCACAACCGTGTGGAGAGTGAGGTTGAGAGGCAACCAGGCAGACAAGGTGTGTGCGTTTCGTCTCTTTTCTCTGGGGTCCACTTCTTCTGCATTGCGCATGCGGCTGTAAAACTGTGAAACTGGACTCTCAAGGCGCGCCATTCGGCTGTTGCTTGACGATCTGAACTGTGTCGATTGACAGGCACAACAGGCTTCTAGCGCAAGGCGTGTGGATTGGGGGGTCCAGGCCGCTAATGACGCACACCCTGCGGGCCAATTACAGCGACTGCCCTGGACCGCCCCTCGCCAAAGCTTCAGCGTTATATGCGCTGGGGAGACCAGGCTTTCTTTGTTGACTTCGACCGAAAGCTCGATAGGTTGATTGCATGCCGCTTGTCTACCCTACATCTTCACATAGATCTTTTGTTTGCCTGCACCACGACAAGTCAAATTGTAGAGAAACTCTTCTTCTCTGCACAGATAACAAACAACCTCTGGACTCCACAGCAAGCAAACTTGACAACTCAAAGAGCTCAGCGCAGTGGACGACACTGGCTGCCAGGGGTACAGCGGCGGCAAACCGAATTCGACGATTGGGGAAATAAAGAAACGGCAGAGTTCTTTCAGCCAGCCAGCCAGCAGACAGCGCGGCGCGCAGCGTTCTCCACGGTGGGAAACATCGATCAGACAATGAATGCCACGGTAAAGCGCAAATTCAATGCCCTCCTTCAGGGGATCGGCAGCACCAGCAGCAATAACCGGCCCACCACAGCCGAATCATTATCCGAAGGCCCAGACAATCCTTCTGCTGCACGTCCTAGCAATGACAGTCTGATCCGCCGCGTATCTACCTCGTCCTCGAGAATGGAAACCGACAACGAGTTCCTCAACAAGAAGCGTCGGGTTGGCGGGGGTGGCGGCGCGACGTCTACGAAATACGGTGCGCTCGAGACGCAAACGATGCCCTCCAGGGGGCTGACGACTATTTCGAATATAACATTGAGAAAATGGACGACCGGGAAGCCGATTTCTGGTACCAGTGATGGGGAAGAGGCAAAAGATGGACAACTCCAGCAGCAGCCGAAATATTGTCCCGGTGATCGGGAGCAGTTGCTGCGGAGGCTGGCGACGTTTCAAGAGCTGACGGATTGGACGCCGAAGCCTGATCCGGTCAACGAGGTGGAGTGGGCGAAGCGCGGTTGGGTATGCCAGGGCAAGGAGCGCGTCAGGTGTACGCTTTGCAGCCGGGAGCTGGTCGTCAAGCTGAATAGGAAAGAGGTGGATGGGAAGGAGATCGCGGTCCTGATAGCGTCGGAGATCGCCCAGTCGGTGGTGGATATGTACCGGGACATGATGGTCACGTCGCATGCGGAGGACTGCCTGTGGAGGAGGCGAGGATGTGATGGTAAGAATGCTCCATGACAACGTGTTATAGCCAATTGCTAACATGGTTTCCTTTAGATTCACTTCTTCGCCTTCCACTTCCCAACCCTAAACTTGCGCTTAAAGACCTGCGCCAGCGATACGACGAACTATGCGAGCGATCAACATTCCTCCCTTACGAGTTCAACCTTCGCCTACCGGAGGGCCTCAACCTTGACGTCGTTCTCACATATCTGCCACACAACTTCTTTACCGAACCTCCTCCGCCGATCAACAAGGCTCTCGCCACACCACCAACCTCTCGACCACCACCGAACCGCTCAGCCCTGACCCTGGCAATCTTAGGCTGGCAGGGCCTCTCCAACGCGCGCATCGGACCCGTCCCCAACTCTGCCTCCTGCCACACCTGCCTCCGGCGCCTCGGCCTCTGGATGTTCAGAAGCAAGGAAGTAGACCCAGAGACCAACCAGATCCTCGTGCCGGCGCCAATGGACCACCTCGACCCGCTCCGCGAGCACCGCTTCTTCTGTCCCTGGAAGAACCATGCAGCGCAGCGCAACTCGGGCGCCAGACCTAGCGGAGAAGACAAAACCGGCTGGGAGATTCTGGTGCAGGTGCTTCGGAATGAGGCGTTCATTCGTCAACGAACTTCGGTCGTGCATAGCAGGAGTAAGAGCTCGGTTCCGCCGCAGACGACATTGAGTGGTGGTCTGACGGTGAGCGATTTACGGACGACGAATGTGATGAAGACGCCTGAGCGAAGACCGCTTACGTCTGATGGAAGGCACCAGTCACGGCTGGGACCGTCTATGCCGGGAGGTGCAGCGCAAGAGGAGGAAGGGATTGTTGCGGAGAATGAGGAGGGAGAGTATGACGAGGAGATTAAGAAGAAGAAGGACCAGGCTATGATGTCAAGGTTGAGGAGGGTCAAGAGTCTCTTTGGCGCCAAGGCGGGAAGCAAGTTGAAGAGATTGGGCGGGAGTCGGCCGGGGACAGCGCACTCCACGGCGAGTAAAGCTGGTGGTCCCGGGGAGTGAGCATGGCATCTTCTTATCCAGAGGAGGAGGGGGGTTTATGTTTGTGATCTGTTGTATGAATACTTCTGGTCCATAATTGGATGGCCATGATGATTGTGGTGTATTTTACGTGTAAGCATTATTGGCGGGTGCGTGCTTATGTATTGGCTCAGAGGTACGAGGAAAGTATATTCATCCTTAACCACCTATGGATGTTTGTGATATCTTCACATACATGACGAGTAAGTAAACCTGGAAGGGGGGAGTGAATCTACTTGGACTGACCGACTATGCTAGTAGTTCAGATCGCGGGTATCTCTATTCATGAAATAAAACAAGAACACACATGATACATATGACAGATCTTCCATGTGCATACAAGAGGCGTATCCCACTGCTCAGTGCTCATGGCTCACGTCGCACCTTAACATCACCACCACCACCACCATCCGCATCCACCGACGATGGCGTAAACATATCCTTACCCAGCCCTTCAAGGAAACTATCCGCCAACTTTTTCGCTTTCCGCTTACCAATCTCCTGTCTGCGCTCCTCAATCTCCTTCCTCCGCGCCGCGACCTTCTCCTCCCTTTCCATACGTAGCTGTTCCGTCCTCACGCGCTCGGCCTCGAGCGCAGCCATCTCGGCCGTACGCTTCTCCTCGTCTTTACTAAAAGCATAGAACCCCACTCCCTTTGTGCGGATCTCCCGGTCGGCCTGGTAGTGCAACGCTGGCGGCGGCGTGGCACTGCGGTCGCGCTTGCGGGCCAGTTGCTCCATCGCGTCGGCGTCCTGGGCCTCGAACGCCGAAACCTGAACTGCATCGCCGAAGATCAGGTTCTCGGGCGCCTTGGGGCGGGCTGACATGACCTCCAACTCGGCGGCCGAGGCTTGGCCTCTGGCGACGCGGCGCTCCATGCGCACCTTTTCTGCGCGGGTGACTTTGCGGACGCGGCCGAACTCGTCTGTGTATTCGACTAGTTCTGTGTCTTCTTCAGACGAGGAGTCGTCTCCAGAGGAGGAGGAGTCGTTGGGGGAGTTGGTTTTTTTCTGTTCGGCCCATTTCCTGTCGAAATCTACCAGGCCGATCTCGCGCCCGACGTAGTCGCCGCGCTGCATGGCGGCGTACAGGCGGGCTTTGGATTCCATTTTGCGGCGTGCGAGCAGGCGCTCGGCTTTCTCGTCTTCGGTGCTCCCGAGCGTCTCTTTGAGGGTCAACTTATTGCCATTTTGCTTGGAGTCGTTGGGTTTGATTTTCCGTTTTACTTTGGCGCCGTTGAAGAGGTCTGTTGTCTTGGACTTGGAGGGTCGCGGGCGGGCGGCGGACGCTGTTGGCGAGGTAGAAGAGGATGATGTATTGTTTGTTGTTGCCGTGGCGAGTAGAGAGCTGAGTTGTGACGTGAACGCCAGCGAGCCGGGGAGTTCCATCTCTTTCCTCTGCTTCTTCTTGGGCGGAGCTTGTCCGTAGAGATGCGGATCTTGGGGCATATTTGCCGTTAGGGGAGGAGGCTTGTTTTTGATTTATCGTCGGGAGTCTTTCGATTGTCCTAGCGTGTCTGGGTTTGAAATGAGACTGGGGTTTTCAAGTGTTCTTGGTAGCTGTGGACGGTATCTTGGATATATGTAGGTGCTTCAAGTTAAGAACGACATTTCGATGTTTCTGTCTCGGGAGTCGAGACGGAAGAATGAGTGGGGTGAAACACTGCAGCTTAATCTGTACAGTGTGCGACCAGCTTCGTTTGCACTGTTTGGCTAGGGGCTTCCCCAGACCACGGGTTGTCGATCTGGAGTGGGAAAGTGGAGAGCGCAACTGGAACCTGTCATCCTGCCACTGCACGGCTCTCCCCTCCCGTTACTTGACCAAAGTCGTCATTGCTGCCCGGTAGCTTTAAACCCGTGGCGTGGGAATCCATCACTCCTTCCATCGTCCAACTCACACCACTCACTGATCCTGGGCCGCCTTTATCGCACGCGCTCACGCGACCCTTCCCTTCCTATCACCGTCGCTCTTTCGTTGGTCCCTAGGATATCTTCTGTGCTGTGTCGGGTCCTCATGGAAGTTTTACTCCTCCGTATTTACCACGACGTGATCAACCCCGACTTGACTTGAACCCCGAACACGCTGTTCCATAGCTGGTAACGCAATCCTCCCGACTGAACCACGCAGAGTCGCAGACCGTCGTGCGCAACAAAGCGACAGCCTTACTGCCGCCATCTCTCAGGGAGGTTGTCCAGAGGACTGAGTGCGCTCTCTGACGGGCGAGCAGCTCGCCCAATGCAACCAAAAATCGAATTCCTGTCATCGCCCGGAAAGATGGCCGACGTTGTTACCCAAGTCGGCCGGTATCTGCGCCCCGTACTAGTTGTGTGCGACTTCATAGTGACAGTGATATCCACAACTTTTGTGAGTGCCGGTACAAGCCTCTGTGCCCAACGAGCTTCTGCTTACAACGGGGTTCTAGAACGTGCTTTTCTGGTTCATGACTGCCTTCATCATTCTATCGATCGTGGTCGACATCGCTCTCTACGGCTGGAGAAATTTTGCCTCTCGATTCGGAC